AATCTAGAGCTTAATCTTCAGTGAAACTTGTGTTTATTTGAGTAAAGTTCAGCCGGTCAGCAAAGGACAGAAAATAAATTAGCAATAAATGGAAGAATTATAGGTGTTTATATATATATCAAAGGCTATTGGTCTTTTTTTTAATACCAATTTTAGTATAATCAAATTAGAAATATAGGTAACCACTTTTCATCTAATCTATTTAGTCATTATCTTATCGAGTTTGATATTACTGTCTTGAGCCTCCTTTGGGACTCACCTTTTTCCTCTTTCAGTTAAGTGTTTATTAATATAATCATCCCAATTGGGGTATATATATCAAAGGCTATTGGTCTTTTTTTTAATACCAATTTTAGTATAATCAAATTAGAAATATAGGTAACCACTTTTCATCTAATCTATTTAGTCATTATCTTATCGAGTTTGATATTACTGTCTTGAGCCTCCTTTGGGACTCACCTTTTTCCTCTTTCAGTTAAGTGTTTATTAATATAATCATCCCAATTGGGGCTTTTTGTTTTAGTTTTCCCTGAACTTAAAGCTGAATATCTGCCTTAAATTATAAATACTTCATTTTTTTCTCTTAAATTCATTTATTGGTACATTTTAGGTATACAATAAATGGTAGATACTGGTACATTTTAGGTTTATGTTTATATTCATCATTGGGAACTTTACATGATGTATCTTGGTTCTTATTTTTTCCCCATTCCCCTGCCCTACCTTCAACCCCTCCACCTCTTCCTATTTGCAAAAGCTAAAAAAAATTCATTTTTAAAAACACTCAAATGTTATGAAAGTGTTTAAAGATAAGACTGTGGTAGCACACAAAAGTCAAAAGTCTTGATACTAATGTTAGAGAACAAGAGGTTCCATTCCCTACAGACCTGAAGGCATTTTTTTAAAAAATTAGTTGTACCTTTCATTATCTTGCTTCCTAACATTTTCCCAAAGCACTTCCTTTGACTTTCATAGGACCAAAGTAAAAAGATAGATGGCAAATTTAGAAACTGTAGTCATTTCTTTCAAATACAAAAAGAAAAGTAAGAAACTGGGATACAACATCAACAAGACCACTGGCAAGGCCTTGAATTTCAGTTACTTGGTTAGTGTAGGCCTGAACAGTCTCAGGCCATGGTACATACTTGGGAAACACAGTAAATGGGGTCACCCCACCAAGCTTACTTGTGTGGTTATCCTGTCTTACTGGGAATCAGTTAAAGTGTGTGCATGTGTGCGTGCATATGTGTGTGTGTGTGTGTGTGTGTGTGTGTGTGTGTGTGTGTATCTTCATGTTTTTATCATGGTGTGTTTATTTCATCTAGAGCTCAGGGTTGTGGTTTTGCTCCAGAAGTCAATAGAGGGCAGGGCCATTGTACTATAGTTGTATAGTTCTAGTCAGCCACTTCACTATGAGTAAAGCAGTATTAAGATAGGGAGACAGAATAGCTAGCCAGCCAGTTCATGTCTAACCTGCACATTTAGTCACAGGAGAGACCAAATATTTCTTTGATGCCTTATGAATCAATAATTTTATAGCATTTAAAGCAGATACTTTTGGTGAAGCATCCCATTTTTGCAGTCCAGTAACAGTGTTACATGTAAATCATATTGCTGTGTTTATCTCCCCCTTTCCCCACTCCCAAAAGGCTTCTTTTTTCATTCTGCAATTATTATCTCCACCTGAGTCTCATTGTAGTTCCCTAGATAGTTTAATTCCTTTGATATTGCTGCTACATGACTAGGAGCCCACTATGTCTGGGCTGCAGAGCTAATCTTTTAGAGGTGGCTTTTTTGTTAATTTTTGAAAAGTTGAAGTTAGAAAGATCTTATGGTAATCTATCTATCTCTAACTTCCAAAGAAAAGATTTACTGTAGCAACAAATCTGGACATCTAAATTCTTTTGAATCTATTTCATACATTCTTGGCCCTGTCAGGGCTTATGGGTAACCAACCCAAGGCCTTTTCTCATGGGAATGTCACAGGTTGGCAGTGGTTTGAGCATATGGCTTACATATCAAAAACAGAAGGAGTGGTTTGGTATTTAGCTCAGCGATGCCACTGCCTGCCTTCCAAGCGCAAGGTCCCAAGTTTGATCCCCAGTACCAAAATCAAAAACAACGGGAGGGAAGGCAAGATCAATTACTGTTTTCTGTTTTCCCATAATACTTCTTTGCAGGATAGCTATCTATACCTTTGGGGGCACCTAGAGTTTATGCTGTCTAGCTCTGGTACACCCTTGTGTGAGGCGTCTTGGGTTCAGAAATATGGGTATAGGACAGCAGGAGGTTTTTTTGTTAAAATTTCTTTCGTTCTTTCTTTTTTTTGGTACCAGGGATTGAATTCAGGACCTTGCGCTTGTGAGGCAGGCAGTGGAATCACTGAGCTAAATTCTTGGCCCTGTTAAAATTTCTTTTAGGTTCCTTTATAAAGGAAAGGTCTTTGGCTTTTGAATTCTGGAATATTTTCTTAATATGCATAAAGTGATTTGAACCAAAGAGGTGAATTTGAGTTGTACAACCTGTATATAATTGATGCCATATTTATAAACTTCTTAGTTACAATGATAATGCCTTGCATATCTTCATATCAAATGCCTGGAACATAGTAAGCATCCTACGTTTTTGTTGAGTAGTCAGAAATATAGTAAGTGAGGGAAGAACAGGAATAAAGAAGTAATAATATAGATTTAAAAGCAGCTTATTCAGGACTGTAAAAAAAAGTCTTTAAAATCATGTTCTAAGATCAGTGGGTTTTCCAACTATAGCATGAACTCTAGATTAATTCAGAGAAAATGCTTTTAGATGGTGAAGCGGTCAGATAATAAGATTATTGGTTGATATGTAGGTCCTTGGGCTGTAATTAACTTTTGCTTCTTATATTCATGCGTAAATCTTAAGGAATTATTGGATATTTAAAATTAATAAGGTCGGGTGTGGTGGTGCATGCCTATAATCCCAGCACTCGAGAGGCTGAGGCAGGAGAATCGCTGTGAGTTCGAAACCAGCCTGGACTACATAGTGAGTTCCAGGTCAGTCTCAACTACATAGACCCTGTCTCAAAAAACCAAAAATACAAACAAACAAATAAAATTAACAAGAACAGCAAAATATTAAATAATTAACAAGAACAGCAAAATAATATTAAAAGAAATTATCTTTTCACTCAAACATAAGAACTGTGCATAGGTTTTCTGTGTATACTTTTATGGGTGAATGTGTTTTACATAGCTGTATTCACAGTATATTTTTTCTGATTTTTTTAGCTAATATGATAGTTTTCTATGTAATAATTTGATTTTAATTCTTCAGACATATGGGATAATGAGAGCTGGCATCTTAGAATTTATAGAAATTTTGCCAAATTGTTTATAAAGCCAAGGGAAAGTAAGACTAAATTTCTTAGGGCAGCTTATTAGGTAGTATTTGATTGCTTTTTTACATCAGTGTACTTCTAGGAATCTAGTTTTATTTTCTGGCTAAACAGATAAAAGGTATTCTGTTGTACTGATGAAAGTTTGGGGAGGGGATACTTTTTTATATGTTTTTATTTTCAAAATATAAAATATGTCGTGATAGAAATTAGAAGTAAGCTATTCAGTTAGGAAATCTTTTTCATTGTTGATTTGTTCAGGGTCCTTTTATAGAGAACAAAAAATGTTTCAAGTGATTTATTTATTTATTTATTTTCCTCATTGAGTTTATTGGTACGTTTTAGGTATACAGTACAGTTACATTCATAACTGGGATCTTGTACCTTTACATGACAGGTCTTGGTTCTCATTTCTCCCCCACTTACAAATATTTTATTTCCATTTTTCATTTTCTCCTAGTTTTTTCCTTTCCCTTATTACCTTCTCCTACCCATCCCACTTTCCCTACACCTTTAGCCCTTTTCTTCCTATCTCTCAAGTGATGTATTTATGAAGTGACTGTACCAGTGGAACTTGAAGTTCTTTTATAAAAGTAATCAGAGTTGAAGTGTGAAAATGGGACTATATGTTTGAATTGCCTTTGAACCTTCTCCAACTTTTTCCCCCCTTGTGTGACCTTGGATGAGACATCTAATCATAACCTAAAAACTAGAAATAACTATCTTAATGCTGATTGTGATTATTATTATGAATAAGCCCATGATTTATAGGGCTACTATGAATGTGATGGAGAGAGACATTTATTTAAAAACTGTATTGAGCGTTTTAGAATAGCTTTTCAATAGAAGCCCCCATTCCAAACAGCAAGCATAGAGAAAACAGGCATCTGGAGGCTGTTTTGTAAGTGCTTGTTAATCACAGGTAACTTGTTAGCATAGGGCCTAATTTAAAAAGCAGTCAGTCTTGTGGAATTGGGGGTCCCAACCCAGAACTAGCACACAGACAGACTCACCTGGTCTCTTTGCTGCAATGCCTATCCCTCCCTTGAATTGAATCTCAGCTTGTGACATATTTGCAATCATTTTCCACCAGCAGCCTCAGGCATACCTCCTGAATGCTAGGAGGAAAGACCCCTGTTAGTTCACTTATCCTATATCACTTCTAAATCAAATACAGATCTCTTCACTAGTAAGTGTGGGGGAGGCAGTGAGGGTGAAAAATGGGACCTTCGGTTTTGTCCCCTTAGTTCAGAATGGCAGGATATTTCTATTGAAGATGGGATCTGAGTCATCTGAGTAGAAGAGAGAGCGTGAGGCAAAAGGTTTACATGGTACAATGTGTTGTTTGTCAGATCAAACAAATTTAGACTGAAACGCAAGTGAGACCAAGCCCCTTAAAACTTGTTCACTTTGAGAATGTCTTATTTCTTATATTCATTAAAAGGATAATTTTAAAAACTAGAGATTGGTCGTAAAAGGCCTTTTTTTTTTGGTGAATGGGAATTAAATGAACTATTTCAGAAAATAATGGGAGAAAAGTAGCCACACACTTTTAGCTAGTTAAGCACTCCTGAATTGATGAGAATCGTTGTTTTGTTAATTTCATCAACATGTTCATTTCTTTCAGCTCCATGTTCATGCATGTCTTTTAACCCGGAAACAAGAAGACTGTCCATAGGTCTAGACAATGGTACAATCTCAGTAAGTACACTTAACTAAGATTTCCAGTTGAAATACTTCTCTTCTTCTGGAGTATGTATTTGTATTGTGACAAGATTTACTTCTTAGTGTTTTCAAATTAACGGAATCATTTTCTTATTGAGTATAGTTGAAATGGCAGTGGAGCATATCATGGTGAGGGAAGAGATTTTTGGATAGGAGAGCTGTTGGCAGGCTGCTAACATGCTGACAAGGCTCAGCGTGACCTCTCACATACACAGCGCCCAGGCTAGGGGCACTCGGAGGCAAATGAGAGAACTGCATGAATCAGCATTAGTGAGAGCTAGCTGAGATCCTGAACTTGCTCTGCTGTGACACTGAACTTTGATCAGATGATTAATCCTAGTGTAAGCTTCTGCACACAAGTGAAGAACACAAGGGAACTACTCTTTTTTCCATCTGCATGTCTGATCTTGCCTTTGATACTGTTTTCCTTCTGCTTCTTGTCGTGTCAACTCCCTCTAACATGTGAATAGAATTCTGTAGCTTTGCATGAATTTGTAAAGAAAGCACAGGACCTAAATTTTAGTCTATACAGTAAGGCAGTGTACATCGGGTAGGCTATAAGGTGGATCCAGATAAATATTAGACTATTTGATTATAGACTTTGAGGGAGCTGAAGTGATTAGAGACTGGAATTTCAAGTTTTATCTACCTTCTTCATGTTCTCATATATTGAGTTTCAACTAGTATTATTAACTAGTAACGTGTGATTTGGTAAATTCTTCACTTGGTGAATTAACCACTGTCATTTTAGTCCTGGGCAAGAGAAGCTCTGCTTTGGGACCTGTTCCCTAGAAGGTCATATTTGAAAAACTGAGTATAGTGGTACACATTTGCGATCCCAGATACTCAGGAGGTTGAGGCTAGAAGATCATGAGCTCTGGGCCTACCTAGGCAACATAGTGAGACCCAGTCTCAAAAACTAAAAAAAGTAAAATAAAATAAGGCCATCCTCTGGCCGTGCTTGCCCACAGGATAAAAGGTCTGAGAGGCCTAACCCTTCATTTCCTCACTTTATCCTCTGCACTAAGAATGGAACTTTCTGTCCCCCAAACAGCTCAGAGTTTACTTCCAGGGTCTGCATGGGTCTTTGCCCTGGTTTGGTCCTTAGGAGGGAAAACCAATGAATGTACCTTTAGCCCTGCTGAGTAACCTGTTTGAGCAGGTGAAACAGTGGTGACAAACCTATGACACATGTGTTGTTTTTCTTTTAAGATAAATGATGTTAATGTATCAGCTGTTTTTTTCCAAACTAAAACCTCAGCATTCAGGTTTAATTGCATTGTTGGCACTTTGTGATACATAAGTGGGTTTTGGGTTACAGTTTGGGCACTCACCTCTAAAAGGTCCGCCGTCACTTGGGTGGGTTTTCCACAGACATGTACAGGGTCCCTGGAGATACTGGCAGAATTGGGTAATGGGAAGAGAAGGCCTCCCTGCCACCACAATATGGTATGAAACTTAAAGGAATCCAAGAACATGTTCTTCCAGATAGTTGGAGGTGTACTTGTCAATAGTAGACTGTAAGACCATATTTTATTTCATAGTTTAACTTGATTTGTAACTTCTAAATACTTAGACATGAAGAGTATGTCCCCCCTTGTAGTTTTATCCCAGCCCCTATAAATGTTAGAGATAGGCCTGAAATTTTTTGATCTTTAGTGAAGACATTTGTGTTGTTGTCTTTGTGGAGATACTGTTAAATATAAATCAGCCTATATCGACAGATACTGTATTCTGTAACGTCTAGTGTGTTTGGTAGGTCTAAAAACTGTTCTTTGGGAGAAGAGAAGTTTAATGTACTGATCTTTGTCTATTTTAAGAAGAGCTATTTTTAAAAGGAGAGGTATGTATAGGATAATTTATTTCCTTTTTCAAAAGGATAATTTATTTCAAAAAATAAAGAGAAGCCAGCTGTGATGCTACACATCTGTACTCCCCAAACTCTGGAAGGCTGAGGCAGGAGCATTGCAAGTTAGAGCCCCACATTGGCAGTTTAGCAATTCAGTGAGATTGTCTCAGAATAAAAAAGGGCTGAGGATATAGATCAGTGCACGGATCCTGAGTTAAAAGAAAAAAGATAAAGGGTAATAATTGATTTTTCAAATGAGCTGTAGTGTTCCGTAAGAAAATCTGAAAAGAAGAGCTGCCTTTCAAATATTAGCCAGCAACTCATAGAATCATGTATAACATCTACTGTCCTTGAAAATACTTACATGTGTATCACATGTGGTTCTTTGAGTTTTTGAAATCAATATGGATGGTTAGTAGTTGCTAACAAATTTAACCTAGAAGCTAAGAAAGGTAAGTAAAATAAGTTATGGGGAGGTCTAGCCATTTATTGTGTAGAAGAAGAGAACCTTATGTCTTAGCCATTATTCCTGTTAATGAAACTGGCAATGAATTGGAGCAATAGTCAGGTTTGAGGACCCTGGATAATATTTAAATGCTTTCCTTAAAAGTGCCTAATTTATGTTGTTGAGGAAAATAATTGTACATCCTACCTATTCTCATTTGAAGACTTATAAAGAACTCTAAGGTAGGGAAAGATGCATTGAGAGAACAGCATATTTAAGGTTCAGGGTTTTCATTGATAACTATAATAAAAGGTCATTGGCTGAAACTACTTCATTTCATAATAGTTTACTTTCTAGACATGAAAAATCCTGTTTCAGAAACTACACATTCTCTGTTTCTTGAATATAGCAAGCTTTAAGAAAAAATCCTGATTAAATATTTTTAAACAAAGGATGAAATAATAAAGTAAATCCTTATTCCACTTTATTTTACTGAATAAAAAACATATTGTGAAGCACTTAAAAGACATTTTATTATATGGTACTGAGTAATCCATTAATGTAGCAATAATAAATGTAGACTTTAAAAAATTTTGGCCACAAAGGGAAAGAGAGAGGGTTAAGCATTAGAGCAAGAGTGGACAGGCGGCAAGCAGCAGGAGAGAACAATTTGTAGAATTTACCTGTGGAAAGATTGGGGACGCTTTTGGGGTAGAAGAGAAAGAAAGACCCTTTGCAATAATAAGAAAAGAATGCCTTTTTTTTTTCATGAAGTCACAAATGAGATCACCTCCTAAGAGAAGCTAAATGTGGTAATTGTTGAGGGTCTGGAGATGTTGCTCAGCAGAAGAACACTTGCCTACCATGCATGAGGCCCTGGGTTCAATCTCCAGTACCGCAAATAATAATATAAAAAGATGGAAAGAGTTTACTTCACACCCATACCTTTTGCTATATAGGATCATAGTCTAGAAACTCCTCTGCCATCTTGGTCTAAAAGTCCCAATTGTCTCTTAAAACCTTGCCTAAATGTTTTTGTTTTATTTTTGAAAGAAAGATGGTTCCTAAATCCAATCATTTGAAATTAGTCACATATAATAACCAGCAGGTTAGCTGTATTATATTTTTTACTTAACTTTTATTTTGTAAAATATTGTAAAGTATGTCTTTTCTCTTAAAGTGTTGAGTATTAAGGACTTGGCTAGTCTTTTTATTCATCTTTTTCCCAGTATATCTTAGTGTGTTTTCTTACATAAACTTGGGACTCATAATTTATTAAATAAGTTTTATTGGCTAAAGTACAAACAGTATTTATTATAGTTAGTTGTAACAAGCACTTCAATTCTGACTTCAATTCTGACAATTCTGACAATTATAATAGAATTATAATTCTATTACTATTGAGAATGCTTTGCAAAAGAATTACCTTCTATAGGGAAAAATGTTGTGCCAATAATTTGTCTTGAGTTTTCAGAAATATTTTCAGTTTTAGTACTAAAATAAGTTAGATTGTTCTGTTACTCATGTTCAAGTAGGACTCCAAAAGTTTCATGTATTCTAACCAACCAACAAATATCTAAAATCAACTGGATTATTGCCAGTTCTAATATAGTGTGGCTTCTGAGTTCATAATACAGTCAAGACCATAAAGTATGAAATAAATAACACAAAATGCCTGTGAAAGTAGTAATGTACCAATAATAAGTGTGATATTGGTAAAGCAGTGAGCTCAATATAGTCTGGGACAGCTCTGACATAAGCTGGGTTTAGAAAGTGGGCCAGGATTTCATGGCTAAAGATAGGGAAGGAAAGGTATTGCAGGCAAAATTCCAGCCATGGCAGAAAAACGTGGTGGTAAGAAAGGTCAAGAAATGTTTGGAGATAAACCAACCAATGAAGAAAGAGGGTTAGTTTAATTTTGTGAAATTCTTGATTCAGGCTAAATAGTTAATACTGTGTAAAGGAACTGGATTCCTACCATGGAAGACTCCCTCCACTCTACCCCCAAGACTTTCAACTGTATTTAAAGGGGGTAAGTGACTGGAGAAAAAAATCAACATAGAAATAAAGTTTCCATTAGACTAATTTTCACCAATCTGACTAAATATAGTCATAGACATAAATATATGCTCATCTTTGTGAATATGTATTTTTTTCCTCTTTAAAACTGTTAAGGAGCCAAAATTTTTATTAATATATTGCCAAGATACATTCATAATATTGAAGAGTTTTTGAAGAAGTCCTCAAAATGATAAAAATCTCTGTTTTCTGAAGGTTACTCTCATATATGTACAGTATTATGGGAATTTTGGGGTGAGAAGAAAGGAAATACACACACAAACATATCAATATTCACAATGGTGTTTGTTATATAAAATGCTATTGATCATGTATAGGATTTGTTGTTTTGGTAGTTCTTACGATTTTTATATTCATATAAAATATATTACTGTTAACTCATATAGATTATCCAAGAGAATAAAAAAGGAATGGCAGTTAAATGTTTATTGAACATCTATCACATGTCAGGCATTCTGTTTTACCTATGTTGCCTTATTCTAATTGCACAATAATCTTATGATAAAGATGGTCCATGTCTCCAATAAGGAAACTAAGGCTTGCAGGCATTACTTACCTTATCTGGCTTACTTAGTTAAAAAGCTGAGATGGGACTATGTGCCT